GCAGAATCCCTTGAACAGAAATCCTCCAGTCAAAAAAAGCAAAAGGGCTAGCAATTCTCAAAAAGAAGATAGTATAAGTACAATCACAGACAACCGTAATGAGAAAAAATGGGGATCAGGTTCAGAAATCATTGTGAATGTGTAGGGAGCTGTCAGGTGAGCTAAAGATTCAAAGCATCATGTATAGGAAATAGAAGATGTATCTAATCACCAAGGAGGTATATCAGCAATTGGCTAATATCTACAGAAAGAAACTTAGAAAGGCTAAAGCATAAAATAAACTTAAGCTCAAAAGGGAAGCTAAAAGCAACAAAAAGGTCTTTGTGGTTTTTTTCAGTAGCATATTATATATTATATATTTTATTAAATGTAGAGGCCACTCAACTCCAAAGAACTCTGGGTGGCATACACTTTCAAAAGTGAAGTATAATATAATAGAGAAAAAAAATAATGTACGTTCAAAAACACACACACACATACACACATAACAGACCAAAGAAAAAACAACAGGAGCTCAACAACCACCCTACCCCAAGGTCTGGGAGAAGAGCTAGGTTTTCAAGGACTTTTGCAATATAATCAGGGTGGGAGCCATAAGGATCTCTCGGAGAATGCTGTTCCAAAAGTCAGATGCCATGAGAGAGAAGGCACACTTCCTGAGTCCCAATAGATGACACTATTTATTTGAAGTGACCTGGAGGGCATTCAAACTTATTGGACAGGTAGAAACTATGGGAGATAGGCAGACCCTCAGATAATGAGACCCTACGACATGAAGGGCAGATACTTATTCAAGCAGTCACCAGGAGTCAAAATTAATTTGAAGGCGCCAAAAAAAAAAAAAGCCATGAAGGGCTTTATAGATGGTAACCAGAATCTTGAATTGCACTTACAGGCCAACTGGCAACCAGTGCAGCTTACAAGGCAGTGACATGGGGGAATAGCTTGACCACGCTGCCACATTCTGGATCAACTGTAGCTTCCAAGTAGTCTTCAGAAATAGCCCTGTGTAGAACACATTGCAGTAGTCATTGATGATGATGATGATGATGATGATGATGATGATGATGATGATGATGATGGATTGGCCTGCCACTAGGAAAATACAGTAAGTTGTCAAAATGTAGGATGTCATTTTATAGTTACAAAGCTGGTTGAATGATCATACCTACTAAGTATACTGTATATCAATGGTTCTGCATCAAGCTGGGGGAAAGTGCTGAGTGGCCTACTGCTGTGCCCCATTTTAGGCCTTGTGCTGTTCAACATTTTTATTAATTTTTTGGATGACTGGTTAGAAAATATTATGATCAAAATTACAGATGACACAAACATGGACGGGGAGAGAATGGGATGGCAAACAACACTGGGTGGCAGTATATGCAAAGATGCTCTGGGTATCTTGGTGGATTACAAACTGAACATGAGGCGACCATGTGATGCAACTAGAAAAAGAAGCTAATGCAACCCTATCAACAGAAGTACAGGGCTAAGATCAAAAAGAAGTTACCAGCCTCCTCTATTTTGTGTTGCACCTAGAATATTATATCCAGTTCCAAGAACCACATTTTAGGAAGGACACTGATAAACTGAAACATGCTGACAGGAAGGAAACCAAAACGATAAGGAATCTAGAAAGAAAAACAAGAAATGGTTGAAAGCACTGCATGTATTTAGCATAGAGAAGCCTGTAGGGAGCCAAAATAGCTACCTTCAGGTATCTGAATTGTTGTAATGTAGGAGACAGGGCAGAATAGTTCAGAGTTGTGCCATAAGGCATGAGAAGAAATAGTGGCTTTAAACTACAAGAAAAAGATTTCTGTTGGACATAACAACAACAACAACAACAAAACCCTAAAGGTAATAGTTATTCAGTAATGGCACAGACTGTCTTGGGAGATGGTGGACTCTGCTCCACTGGATCTGCTGAAACAGAAACTAGATGAATATCTGTTGAGGATACTGTAATAGTGAATCCCAGTACTGGGCAGGAGGTTGGATTAGATAATTTTCCAAAGTCGTCTCCTCCTCCTCCTCCTCCATAACCCAGTCTTCCCTATCCTGTTGCCTTTCTGATGCCTTCGGACTATCACTAACAGAATTTCTGGATGATATGGCCAAAAGATTCAGGGTTGAGCCCTGCCAGTTGTAAATCCTCCAATGCTATCTATGTTACTTGGAAATCTGTAACTCAGTTGCTAAATATTACTCAACTGAACAAATACATGTGGCTGGTTGAACTGGTAATAGTTCACATTATTTGTTCTGTGTTTAACAAATAATCCAGCAAGTCCAAGCTCTTACGGTCATATGTCTTGCCAAATAATATTTTTTAAAAGCAGAATCTTTATAACGTATATGAAAGTTTCTCAAAGGCTTCCATTAATTAGCTTCTCCAGTTTGTATTGTATAACTTTTTTTTTTTTTTTTTACCATTTATAAGATTCTAATTGATTTCATTTCCCAATTCTATAATGTAGAACAGTTATGGCTCAGATCAGTTAACTTAATCATAGGCAATTCAGGGAGAGCAAAATAACCCATAATTATTATTCATGATGCTAAATAAATTTTGCATGTTCAGAGCCATTTTAATCTGACTGATTAAGAAACAGGCACAAAAGACTAATGGTGTACTGAGATCCTTCTTCTGGACATCCAATAGACTATTGGTGTTGCTAATGTAAAAAAAGAATATTAGCCTTAAAAGGCCTTGGTTTCATCCAACAGGACAGTTCTTATGATTGAAAATGACTAGATTGAGTCTTGAAAAGGGTCATTTCAGTCTGAATGAATATCAGACATAATTGCCTCTTACATGAATGAAAAAGCTTGAATATAATAACTTATAAGTTAACAATGGCAGATCTGACTGTCTCCCCAAGGGCTCCAATATACCTTGGTACAATTTAATATGGAATTAGAAGCACCAGCATATAATTCTACATATACTGTAAATTATTACTTTAGATAAGAGGCTAACTTATCTAACCTAATGATTAACTTATTAACTCACCCCTTTTTTATGCATGGAGCTTTGACTGCATGGTTGCAGCTAACATCTTGACTTTTTTGACTCCCTCTGCGGTCACCCGTCTGATATTCAATGCTCACAGTAAGTGGTAGGCATTGTTTTTCCATCATTGGCACAACCCTGTGGGATATCCTCCTGTGAAAAGGGTGTTTGGCCCCAACTGTAGTTGTCTTCCAGAAGCTTCTTAAGATCACACTTTTCTGGTGGGCATTTGGGGGCTGATTCCAGATGAATTCTGAAATGCAGGTTTTCCTATTTCTGACTATTGGGTTTTTTTATATTTTCAATTTTATTGTTTTTGATGGTGTGAGCTGCTGTGAGTCCGTATACGATTGTGGCAGGATATATAAATAAATTTTAAAAATTGCTTGAATGTTTATAGTCATAAATTAATTTGTAAGTACAGTCTTTTCTTCAACTGAAGCTTTTGTAATCCCTAAAATCATTCTTTTTTTTAATTCTCATGTTTAATAGGATTCTGAATCTTCCATTCTAAATATTTAGGTTTGATGTTCATGACTATTAATCTAAAAGAAATATTGTGCAGCTTCTTCTCTTCTAATTATGATCTAGTTCAAGCATTCTAACTGGGGAACAACTGTAATGGTGCAGTGAAGGAGCTGAGTTATTCATTTCTTTTCCATCATGCCAAATTCTTCTTGTGTGAACTAGACTTAAAAAACAAAACAAAAAAAGACTCAGCATGCATTTACTTGCCAAGCGTTCTGGCAACAATATAGGTAGCATTACTGTGAAGTGAACGTACATACAAATGTGCTTATGAGGGCCCAGGATTCCTCCTCATTTGTAGGAATCCAATGTGTTTACATCTATATGCTTTTACAATCTATTACTGCACAGGCATTGTAGTACACTGTAGTACATGCAACATGCAAGTACAATTAATGTCTGAACATCCAACCCTGTAGAGGCTAAGTATGTATAACATGCACTGCAGATTATGGCCAGTACTAGCAGAAGGTTAGGAAAAAGATCAGTGCAAAGGTTATCTGGCCATGTGCCCTATTATACAATAGAGTCTTCTACCGGAAAGTTTCCTGTTCCATTGAAAGAACATCAAGTCCAGTGTTGTCCAAACTTGGCCACTTTAAGATGAGTGGACTTCAACTCCCAGAATTCTTGGAATTCAGAATTCCCCATGGCTGGCTGGGGAATTCTGGGAGTTGAAGTCCACAATTCTGGGAGTTGAAGTCCACAATTCTGGGAGTTGAAGTCCACAATTCTGGGAGTTGAAGTCCACAATTCTGGGAGTTGAAGTCCACAATTCTGGGAGTTGAAGTCCACTCATCTTAAAGCGGCCAAGTTTGGACAACACTGGTCTAGTCCAAGCCAGCTTGAAAGATAAAAAAAGTATAAAAAAGGAGAAGAGGAAATTTGTTGTTGCCTGTCAAAAGAGCAGAATAATGGTCATACAGGTAGATCAACTGCACACAGTTTTCCCCACCATAGTAAAGCCTAATGAATTTCCATATGATCCTCCTCCTCCTCCTCCTCCTCCTCCTCCTCCTCCTCCTCCTCCTCCTCCTCCTCCTCCTCTTCCTCTTCCTCTTCCTCTTCCTCTTCCTCTTCCTCTTCCTCCTCATCTCTGTGTGTCATGTATGTAGCACACACACACATATACCCCTACACATCCCTTTTTCCATTTATTGGGGATGAATTTCATCTTTTTTAACTAACCAAGTCACTATATGACCAGCTACGAGAAAGAGCATACCTAATTTTCGAAAGTCATTGTTATAACCAATCAATATTAAATGGGTTCCCAAACTTTTATTTTGACTGCTGAAAAAGCTATTTCTTGTTTGCCAGTCTTTGGGCAATGTTTAAAATAAACATCTCTGCATACTTTTGGTTAATGCTTAAGTGAACATTTCCACATCCTACTGCAATCTGATTTGTATAAATAGTAGAAGAGAAAAGATAAGAGGCCTATTTGAATGAATGAAAGTTCTCCATATACATAGTGAGTAATCTTGTGGGGTGGGGATGCGGGTTTAAAATCACTATATGCAATTTATTTGTTAATACTGCTTCTTTTCACATAGTTTACAAAGTTTATACATTTGAAGTGACTTTTAATATTAGAGTTGTAGTAATCATGCTTATAATTTGTATATTTAGAATTCTGCAAAATAGCATCTTAATAGCTTCTACCATTTGACTAACTACTTGTGCACTACCTGAAAAGAAGAAAACATTTACAAAGAAGCAGGAAAAGATTGTATAGATTTCAGATTTGCAAAAATTATTATATGGTGTATATGTGGAGTATGTGAGTATGAATGAGAGACAGACAGACAGACAGACAGAAAGACAGACAGACAGAAAGATCTCCACTGGTCTCTCCTAGGATATGGAGAAGATTAATGTAGCTTTCATGAGCTACAAGTAAATGTGTAAGTGAGTACACTTTTGTGTACTCACATGTACACAAATGTACATGTGTGTAAAATGTAACTCATTTTACACATTTGAACTGCTATATGTAGAAGAATTCAGCTTACCTAACCATTCACATAGGAAAGTGGCAGAGGAAAGAAGTATTTATGTAATACATTTTACATCATAATCCTACATTAAAAACAAAGAGGTGTAGAACATTATATATTACCTCTTAATAAAGAACAGAACAGATGCATTTATTGGTAACAAATTTGATGAAGATTAAATATAAGGTTTCAATTTTATTATAGTAGAAGTTTTTAAACAAATGAATGACAGAATTTTAAAAATCCAGCCGCATCTACAGTATTATGACAGACTAGGACCCTCCTAACCCAAATTGCATCTCAGAGGCCTTACCAAAGCTAATGCATCAGGATGTCATTGTGTCAGGAAGTATATATAGTTCTTATTCCTAATTTACAGGACTATGGGGCTTGTCCACGGTCAACAGAGATTATTTATATATTTGAACCCTAGATGTTATCAATATATATAATGGCCTTCACTTTTATTCCTTGCACAAGCAGCTAGATATATATTATACTACAGCTAGGATGCACATAATTTGCTCAAAAACGTACCCAAAATGGTCATGACTACAACATGATGTTGATTCCCATACTGTGTTGGGAGTTGAAACAAGCAGGATGTAATCCTATATTACCACATTCTTGACTTGGAAAATATAACAATATTTCATCAATTTTCTTTCATGTTGGCCTTCAGCTAGAAGCCAAAATATAACCCATAAGATCATAACCGAAAAGTTTTACAAACACAGTTTATAATAAAATAAAAGTCCTTTTCTTTTTCACTATTTTCATTTACAGAATAAATTACCAGAAAGATGAACGGTGTCATCCATCTTTGTTTGGCCTTGGTAGCTTTTTCTGCTTTCAGCCATGGCCACCATGATGTCGATCATCATCATGACCATCACGATGGAATCCAAGCTGCTAGCAAGATCCATCGAAATATTGCTCAATTTGCAACTGAACTCTACAAAATACTGGCTCCAAAATCAGACAATGAAAATATTATCATCTCACCCTGCAGCATTTCTATATTGCTCTCACTTCTGTTATTAGGGACAAAATCAACCACCCATGCAGAGATTTTAAAGGGCCTTAGTTTTAACTTGACATCCATTCAGGAAGAGGAGATCCACCAGGGGTTTCATGAACTTCTCCATTTGCTCACACACTCAGATAATGAGTTCAAGCTTGATACTGGACAGGGCCTGTTTTTAAAGGATGACATTCAACCATTGCAGACATTTTTAGATAAGATCAAGGAATTTTATGAAGCAGAAATCCAAGCCACAAAATTTCAGGAACCAAAAGAAGCTGCGAAACAGATCAATGATTACATAGAGAAAAAAACACATGGAAAAATTGTGGAACTAGTCAAGGATCTTGACCCGGAAACTGTCTTTATTCTGATTAACTACATGTACTTTAAAGGTAACTTGCACAGAGATAATGATTCCTTCAATAAAGGAAATGTCCAAAGATGCTATCTGAGATAGAGTAAAGCTTTTCTGAGTTTGGTGGACATAGTGAAAGAGGGCTGGAATTGCCCCAAGCAGCCAGTCCAGAAAAAGATAATCTGAGCAAAGTTCATGGACTGAAAAACTAGCCCAGTACAGAAATTTAAGCATATGCTGTAACTCTCATATTACTACTTCACTACTAGAGGGTTGTATGAAACAGAAACTGTGTATTGTTTCAAACCTAAATACAGTTATTTTCAGTTCTGTGGACCCATTCTAGGAATGGTTGTTCTGTTTTTTTTTAAAGCACCTAATAGGAAACTCCCTTACCCAATGGGCACAACTGATATTATGTCAGAATAGTGGCCATTATTTCAGTTCTTCATAAAACTGGATTATAAATACAATGAGATGCACACTTGTAGAGTTGGAAAAAAATGGAATGGATAGATTCTTCTAAAGAATTCTCCTTGATGTAAGATCCAAGACTGTGCATCTGTGTGTGTGTGTGTGTGTGTGTGTGTGTGTGTGTGTGTGTGAAGAGAATATAAGTCCTTAGAGCTGTGCAGATTTTAGAATGGGTGTTTATCTTCCACAAAGACTTAAGTAAAGTATATCTTCAAAGAAGGAACACAGCTCTCTTTTTCTAATAGCAAAACAGCAGCTGCATTGCTTCACTGCCTCAACCAGCATTTGCTGTGGATATCCAGAAATCTGTCCCAGCTTTTGCAAGTGCTGGTCAACATAAGCAAAGCAATGCAGAGCACCTTACTAATTAAATCATGCCACCTCTTTGCCTCAACCAAGAGAATTGCAATATCTTCTTCAAGTTGAATCCAAACTACCTCATGCAGGTTTAATAATCTTTTCCAAATTTCACTGTGAGGCTTTTTTGTTCTCTTTAGGGAAGTGGAAGATTCCTTTTGATCCACAGTTCACAGAGGAAGCAGACTTCTTTGTGGATCAGAACACAACGGTGAAAGTCCAAATGATGCAGAGGATGGGTTGGTTTTACTACTATATTGATGAGCAGCTGTCTTGCACAGTAGTACAGATGGAGTACAATGGCACAGCCACCTCATTTTTTGTTTTGCCTGATCCTGGAAAAGAGAAGGAATTGGATGAGGCTCTATCAGTAAATACTCTGAACAAATGGGCACATAACTTACAAAGGTAATCCTTGTTTTACTGTTTCTATGTTTTTTCATAGTTAGTATATTGTTAAAGGATACAAAAAACACACACACACTTCAGTGTCTACACATTCTGTGCTTTGCGCTCCCAGAATATTTGTTTAGAGTTGATTTGAAGCTAGAGACCAGCAACCTAGGCCTCTGCATGTCTCACTAGGGTTTCAGGTGCATCTCTCAGTATTGTCCCCTGTGTATGAGAGTGGAGGCTCACTAGTTCTAATCATGGTAATAATTCTTTTTCTTTCCTATTTGCTGGATGTTACCTCCTCCCTTTGCAGAATAGCCCCAGGCAGGCCAGTCAGAGATTGCTATGCCCCTGTTGGAAATTCTCCACCATTGTTCTAAGTGGTAAGAAACTACCCTATCAGGCTGGGTGATGATAGAAGGGGGGGCTTTGGTGAGGGGATGTCCAACACTCCTCAGAAGCCCCAGGCCTTGCCCAAAGCAGAGAGCAATGGTTCCCCTTCTTATCTGCATCAACAAAGGTATTTCCTCAAGCCTCATTAGGCCTCAGATCATTGTGCTTGACCCCTTCATAATACTCTAATACTTCACTTGTTTCTTGCAAACCATTCAGTTTTATTCCTGTATATTAATTAATTTTAAGTAGGCCAACATTGGTGTCTGCAGATGAGGTAAAAAATCTGCAAGATGGTGAGTGTGGCAATATGACAGGAGCCCTAACCTCTTTCTAAAAGTAGTGGGGCTTTGACAATGTGGTGACCATCTTGTAGTATTTGATCCCTTCTGCAGACACTGCAGATTAATTCCATTTGCCAGATTGAATAGGTCATCTGAATTGGATCAAAATAACAATCTGAATCAAACCAACAGTTCAAACTACAGATAGTTCTCACTTACCAACTGCAATTTGAATCACCAAGTCCATCGTAAAGTGAAACATCACAAGACTGTGTCTGACTTATAAGTAAGATGTAAGATTCTTAGTTAATCTTAAATATTAGGTTGGAATGTAACAATGGAGATACTGTACTGTAAACTGTTCAAGACTTGGATTCTGTAGAATTTTAAAGGACAACATATGACCCTCTGATATGCTTGCTGTAACGATCTGCCACTCCCAACACCCAACTCCAGAAATTCTCCTTGCAACCAGTAATGATTCAAAAGAAAGTTCATTTATTGAGAACAAGTGTACAGTTCCAAAGCACTGCTAAGACTGAGCCTGTGCACATCAAAAGTTGTTTTTACCCTTTTTTCCCTTTCTCCCTCCTTCACCCCCCTGCCCTCTTAGTCTCCTCATATTCTCCCATTGGTACGGCCTTGAGCATTCCAGAGCTTGTGATAAGAGCCCATCTGCCTCTAACAGTCTACAATCCATCTTTCCATTCCCCCCCCCCCCCCGCCCCCATGTCTTTTAATGGCAGAACCGCAGCAAGTAAAAAAGGAAGTGGAAAGCAAGCTGGCAGTAGTGTGATTAATATTTCTTAAAAATGGTTTGCGAGGATTCTGACACTTGCACTTCAACTCCCATCATCCCTCATTATTGGCTATAATGGCTAATGCTGATGGGAGTTGAAGTTCAACATATCAAAAATCACACAATGTCCTTCCCTGGCTGACTAGAATACAAAAGGCAGATTATAATGGTGCACAGAATGGTCAAATAAAATAGCATGGTTACCTCTTGAAAAATCATTTCCTGGATTGTTGGAGTTAATGCAGGTATGGAAAACCTTTGGCATTTCAAAAGTTGGTGAACCACAACTCCAGACATTCCTCCTCTGTGGCCTTCCTGGCTGGAGTTGATAGGAAGTATAGAACCATCTAGAGGTTTATAGGTTTTCTGTCATAGTTCTAGAAAATAGAATGTGCAGGACATCTGCTATGAACAAAATCAACACCAGCCTAAACATATTTGTTGTCAGCTATTTATTTTATATTTTTTGAACCTAAACAGTGTTATCTGTGACCTTAAGCTCCCTCTGGGGTAATGCCTGTTCTTAACAGTCACAGAATTTGTACCATTTGAAACATCTGAAACATTCTGAAGGACAACTCTGCCTAAAATATATATTATATTAATCAACAATGCTAAGAAATGCAAGCCCCTCATTAGATTTTTTAAAAATAATATTCAAATACAGGAGCCACAAGACATTCTTTAATGATAAGCTTCAAATATTAGTCTGAAAATGTAGCTGAAGCACTTCATTATGTCTTTGGACAGCAATGCCTGTAATGGTTCCACTCAAAAATTAAAAATTGATTGATAAGTTAATGGTTAAATTGTTATAGCAGGAACAAATACCAAGGATTTATCTGTTAAAGGTCCAGCTTTCATAGGACAATGAGAGTTTTGTGTGTATGTGTGTGTGTGTGTGTGTGTGTGTGTATTTACTGATTTTAGGAAATATTATTAGGCATATTGCTTAACTTTGTAATGCATTTGAATGAAAATGTCCTTCTGTCTCTCTAAAGGCATACAGCAAGGGTCTCTATCCCCAAGTTTGATATTTCAGCAACTTACAGCTTAAAGGAACCCCTCTTCCAACTCGGTGTTACTGACATCTTTACTGACCATGCTGATCTGTCTGGAATCACTGAGCAGCCTTTGAAATTGTCTGAAGTAAGTAAAACATTCATAGAGTTTACATTATTCACATTTCAGGCAGGATTTCAGCAAGACGAAACCACGTTTCACAACAGCAATGTAAATGAGGGGGACTATATGAAAAGTCTAACCCTTGCAAACAGGAACTTTCCCTTCTGATTCCTGTTTTGTAAGCAAAAGATGTGGATCAGATGGTATTTCTGGCATCAGTACATAATTGTTCATCACTACAAACAGAATAAAGATTGAGATGGCAGCCTCTCTTTGCTCAGTTTCTCTTCAAAGTAACGCCTCAAGAAAAGAGATGGCTAACTAGGAAAAACGCATATGTTTTTACCCAGAAAGTCCCAGAAGCATCACAGAGAAAGGGAAATTGAATATTTTTTTAAATACATAGGAAAAAAATGCAACAATAAAGTGAATAGAAAAGGAATTGCAACAATTGCAACAAATCTAGAGGGAGAAATCTAGTGTGTCTGGACACATCCTACCCTATTTGCAGTTATCAAATGCACTCAGTAGACTAAGAAATTGATGGATACATGAACTGTAATATAAACAGCAGTTTTGCCTGAACTATCCATATTTGTAGAGAACTAAATTGATCTTGGTTGCTACACAGTTCCAGGTGATGAAATATATAATTTTGGCACAAAATTAAAAAATAGCACAAAATTGTCCAAAATCTTCCTTTAAATGCACAGAGCCCAGAACTGTGAGGATCCAATTTAATGATGCAATGAAACTTCTAGGTCTGAGAAGGCTCCAGGCAGTAGGAGGTTGTTCTTGTTAATTCTTTAAGCTTTGTTGGAAGTATTGTGTAGAATGGCTATTTTAATTTTCTTCAGTTTTCAGTAGCTGAGTTAGAGAAGGCCTAGTAGCACTGGACAATATTAGGCCCAAGAGTCCTGACATGTGCCTGAGGATGCCAAGCTTCAAAGGTGACCATGGCAAGGTTGTTGTGCCCTGATCTTTCTTTATTCAAAAGATGGAGTGGAAAGGGAGTTGAGTTAAACATGCATTAATTATAGACTTCTCTCTGTTTAAACCAAAATAATTACCAACGATATTCACTTTCAGATCTATCATTATTTCAAGTTGTTCAGTCCTGTTTGGTTCCAGTAGCAAATGGAGGTTCTTTGGTTCCTTTTTCTCCTTTTTTTCTTAAATCACAATTCTTTGCCTCTTTCTTTTCCCAAGTATTTAACACAGTGTTTTTCAAACTTGGCAACTTTAAGAAGTGTGGAGTTTAACTCCCAGAATTCTTAAAGTTGCCAGGTTTGAAAAACACTGGTTTAACATCTTCCACAAGGCGAACCCAGCACTAACTTTGGCAGTGCACATGCTCAAATTGGAACCATACAGAGAAAGATCACATAATCCTTGTAGTGCAAACTCACAGATCAGTAGTCATCATCCCTAAGATATTTTTCTCTGCCCCAAACTTTGAATCTTCTCTTTGTTTCTTCTCAGGTTACTCATAAGGCTGTGTTGACTGCTGATGAAAGTGGAACTGAAGCAGCAGGAGCAACTGCTGCAGAAGCCATTCCTATGTCGGTGCCTCCAGACTTTCAATATAACCGTCCTTTTCTAATGCTGATTTTTGATACAAAAGCCAATGCTACATTATTTGTGGCCAAGATAAAAAACCCAACTCAGCACTAAAACAAAGAAACAGAGTGCAGTAGATTCTGAATACAGTTCCAAAATAAAGCATCACTGTAACATGAACTTTCTTTTAAGTCTTTTTTTCCCCTGCAAAAAGAAAAGTAACAAACCTACTTGTTTCCTGTGTGAATCCTCCTATGAAACTCATGATCTCTAGATGGGGAAGAAAGTAAATGGGGGAGTACTCAGGTGGATAACTTGGGGATTGAAGAGAAGATAGAGTAAAATAACCCCGATACTCAAAAAAGTGCATTTCTATTGAGAATCAGGACTAACTAGATGATTTGTCAAATCCAAAAAAATAGTTGCCCTTCTGCTTTTTGTTTTGACTAGTGTAGTGGCACAGAAACTCAATTTTTCCCTGCTTTCTTCTTCATCTGTTGGGCACCACAATACAACAATTAATTTTAAATTGGATAAACTTGGGACGTGGATCACAGAGAGGACTTTTGCAAAGGTTTTTCTTCTTGTCTCATGAAAGCTTTCTAGGATGAAAGCTGGTAATGCAGAAGTTCCATAAGAGATTGTATCATGCAGTCCTAAAGAGGCTGTGTAGAACATGGATGGGCAATCCGCAATACCTCATTTACTGTGTGCACACTCTGGAATCTTCCAAGGTCATGGTATCAAAAATCACAAAGATTTTATTCTAATTAATTAATTATGTACCATCAAGTCAATGTCGACTCTTAGCACCCAAATAGATAGTTCTTTCCCAGGACAATCTGTCCTCGGTCTGGCCCTTCAGATCTTCCAGTGGTAGATTTTATTCTACAAAGTTGTTGTATTCTTTAATATTTATTTTTATTGTCCAGTAGAATATATGATAGAATAGAATATTATAACATGGCTAGGATAGAATATTAGACTACTCTGGTTTAATAGCCAATAGCCCAGTAAGTTGCTTCCAGACTGACCAGGAAAGAAAGGGCAGCTGGTTGGAATATGCCCAGCAAACCTTTAATTCAGAGAGCTTATTGCACAAAGAGTAGAAAGGGATTGTATGTTCAATTATCCATGCATCTAAATGATCCTATTCATTTTTCAATGTATGATTGTATAAATACACATAAAAAGTTTGCAATTTATTCTGTTGAAGCAGTATTTTTGTTTCTGGAATATGTTAAATTCTGATTAATTGATTTAATATGATGAAAAGATGATATAAAGTGTTGAGTGCTAAAAAGAGGATGTATGCTTTAAACTTAAAATTGATGTTATCAAAGATCTGAAAATTATAACAAGACTTCAAAATTAATAGGCGTTTCGGCATTTCTCATCTCTCATTCATCCTTGATCTCCCATTTTTTTAGCTACTTGACCTCCAAAGAAAATAAAGACAAAGAGGTGTGAATACCACCATCACTATCCTTAGCTGTGTGGACCACTTTAAGACCTTTATTCCCAGGTTTATACTTCAGGAAGCTTTTTTAAAATGCTGATCATTGAGAAAATAAGGTCCTGTTTGGCTAGGAATAAATACCTTGTAAATCAGTTTATGGAAGTCCTTTTAAAAAGAGAAGAAATGCCTTTTTCCCAAGTCTTATTTTCACAAATTAATCCTGAATGACACCTTTTTAGTTTACTTAGAGGAGAAAACAACTTATGGTATCGGGAGGGTTTTAGGTCTGCAGGATAATTGGAGTGACTGCATTTTAAAATCAACACAGAAAAGACTTTGAAGACAAGCAGAGTGCCTTCAATAGCCCCTTATGCAGAGGAACAGGGGATTAAAGATAATATTAAAGGAAGCTAAGAATAACCTTTTCAAACTAAGATTATGAAGACATTCATAATCTCTGTTATGAATCTCTGTTCTTATGTTATGAAGACATAACTCTTCCATTTGCTTTGTAGAATGCAGGTCTTGATACATCAATGGCGGATATAGCAAAAGGATATCTGTATAAGGTCATGTTTTCAGAGCTATGAACTCTTCCTGGGCCATTCCATTGTTATAGCAATAGGCATATGCTTTTCAATGACTCATCCCTCTTCCTTGGAACTCTTACGTTTAACAGAACGAAACCTGGAAGACCTTTTTTGAGCTGTCAAAAATTCAGGCCAAGAGGAAATCCCTTAACTCCACCCAGCCACCTGACCCTAACTTTCCTCCTCCTGCTCCTCCTTCTGCTCCTCTTGGTCTCTTTCTGATTTTCTTTTATTAGTGTCGATCACTTCTTCTGTCCCCACATTTTTCATTAGTAGGATTTCTGTACCATCAACATTTTTCTTCAGGACAGTAATTCCTATAAAAAGAGAGAAACCCCACTCTTTGATCTGTGGGGTCCTTCTCTCTTCTTGTCTTTTCATCTCCATCCATAGCTGAGATTGACCAATCTTTTCCTTCTCCTGGAGTGAAGCCTCTTTGAGCCTTTGGACGTCAGATGTCCTTTCCCATGGACGATGAACCCAACCAAAGTGACCTTCAAATGAGTAAAGGCCTGTCAGGAAGCTCCACTGAGATAGGCTTGTAGAATACCTCCAAGGAGGTTTCAGTCTTATCAAAACTAAACCAACCCCCTCCTTAAGCTTTGGAACCACAGTTTTCCAGTGTCCCTGGAGCAGCCCAGCTAAGTTAGATTTCATAACTTGGAAGGGTAACCAAGCAGCTGGATCCAGAATCTGACAAAGGAGTGGAACAATACCTACCCTTTGAACAGGTCTGAATCCTGAGCTGCACATGAAAACAGGATACGTATCATTAGTTTACTAAGGTAAGAGGAAATCCCCTTGATCCACATTTTTTGTGCAACTATTTTCTGTTATATCAATTTCTACCAGTTCCACTTTAACTTGATCGACTGTATTCATGCTATACTGAGTAATTCCACCATGATTTCCTATAGATACAGTGATGGATTTTGTTCTGATTCATGCCTACAAGTCATGGAGCTTTCTCAGAACTCCTCAATTTTTAAACTGTCACAGCTGAATCTGAACTTAGGCTCCATTCATTTCTGACATTAGGAGAGCCTTCTTCATCCAGTTGCCCTCCAGCTGGTGGTTGTTTGCATTTCATTGATAAAAATTGTAGGCATCAGCCACCAGTTGGATTAAGCAGCTGTAACAGCAAATGGGCCCAAGGATCATGAAAAAAGAAGAAGAATGACATTTAGATGAATTAGACAAACAGTATTCATAGTGAGTATTGTTGGCACTGTCTAAAACAGAGAATTGTAAACACTTCCAAAGAAATATGAATTGCTGTTGACTGTTAGTGCCTTTTTGGTCCAGTATTCACCTTTAAGTAATGGCATTGTCTTTGTATTTGAGGACTCTTTTTACACATTCCTAGATGTACTCACACACAAGTGCAAAGCTATTTTCAACATACTGATCTCTGGGCTAGTTAGAATACATTTCAAATTCATGTGAGAATCCTGTAAAATAAACAGAAAACAGCATTTATTTGTTTATGTATTTATTTATACAATTTATAATCTGCCTAATGACTCTGAAGAGGATTGGAGTGTAATATTATACATGTTGAAGAAAACATAGTAAAAGATGAAAGGTGAGTCCAGCAGGACTTCTCACGGTTATTTCATCATTACCATTTCACTTCTCCCCTCCATCCATGAGAGTATTGTGCACGTGAAAAAATATTATTTGCTCCAGCTCAACATTTTCTCAAATGGATTTATTGCCCTCGAAATACAGCTTGTGTGTCTCTGAGATTCTGTGACTTGATGGCAGACAACCTTTATTTGCTTCCTTCTGTTACAGGCACGCTGGAATTCTGGGAGCATATGGGGAGTGCCAAAGTGAGCACAAAACAGCCAAAAGTCATTTCTGGACCTGACCAACTTTCAACGATATGCTCAGTTTAGCCTGGTACAAAAGGCAGTGGTGCTACAGCATTAGCACATTCTGGCTTAATCTTGGGCTTGGCAAGAGGTCAAACTTAGCCTTCTTGATGTATTATCTATACCAAGGGAGAAATAGAAGAAATGCCAGTGTCTTGATATTCCTGAATCTCTTAATGGTTTTTGACATTACAGCTAAGCATTTGAGAGAGCTAAGGATAAGACTATCACGTTGCAGTGGTTTTACCACTATTTCTCTGGATACCATCTGAAGGTAGTATTAGGAGAATTTTGTTCAGCCTTTTGGAAATTTTCCAGAGAAGGGGAGGGGAAATCCTGCAAGAGATCAGCCTTCCATTTTCTATGTTATTAAATATCTACTGTATATGAAGCCATTAAAAGGTTCGTACATTGTTCTAAAGTGAATTGCCACCATTACACTGATGGTATTCAACATCCTTCTTTTTTTAGGTATCTTGAGAGCCTCACCATGTCTTTGGCCTTTTTAAGAATACATGAGTAGAAGGACAGGCTGCAAACCTGGATAAGGCAGAATTATTGGTTGTTTCAGATGGTGAATTTCAGGGTTTGGGAAATATACCAATATCAGGAAAGGATTGTACTTCCCTTAAAGACAGTTTACAACTAGGTGGGTCCTCCTAGAACTGGCATTGACTTGATAACTACAGTACATTGGTAGCAAGGGGGAGGGCAGCTTTTATCAGCTTCAACTAAAAAATAAATTGTATCCATTCTTAGAGGAGAAAAACTGATATTGATAACACAGTGCTAGCATCCTCAAGTCTGGATTATCACAGTGTGCTCTTCATGGGGCAGCCCTTAAAGATAGTCCAGAAACTAAAACTGATCCAGAATGGAAGTAGCAGGTATTGAGCGGTGCTTCTACAAGGTGCCCCATCACCCCTGTGTTGAAACAGCTGCATTTAGTTACCAAATGCTTTCCAGACTTGATTCAACATGTTCACTATGAGCATCACACAACTTGGGCCAGATTATATGCCTTCCCCATAGTCAGATCTTTAATGAGATGCCTTTTAGGGAATTGAGCTATTAAGAATAGCCACTAAATGGCAGTACATAGTGTATGGTTTTTAAAAAATAAAATAAAATAAATTTAACAGAAAGCAAATAACACTCACAATGCTCTCTTCGCAGGGACCAAAGGCATTGCACAAACAACTAAAGGTTTTGTACTTTGCTATGCAAAATGCCACTTTCCAATTTCATTTTTGG